TGCTGCTATTTAATCCCATCCCGTTTCTAACACGCTCGAGCTCGGCGAATCATCCAATCCGAGTCGACAATCGGTTCAGCGTGTACCCATGGACCTCGGACCGGCTCACGTGAAACCCCGTTCTGGGCAGCCAGCCACGGGATTCAGCGGAATATCAAATGGTCATCACCCAAAGACGGATCGGTTGACTTAGACACCGGTGTGGTTGAATATGTAGGACACGTTGCTGTCTTGGTGGACGGGCGGCCCGTGGCAGGTCCGCCTCGTCGACGAGTTGTTGTTGTTCACGTAGTAGGAGGACTTCCTCATGCTGGTCGAAGAGGACATGATGGCGACCGTCTCGTAGTACCTGATCTTGCCGCAGCAGCGCCCACTCTTCATTATCGCGACGAAGCCTCGTCGATATTTCTTGTTGAAGAACGCGTAGAGGATCGGATTAATGCAGGAGTTACTGGCGCCTAGCCATTGGGCAATCGGCGTGGCGATCGGTAGGATCTCGTCCTCGCGTTCCGCCACGTCGTTGCCCAGCTTGATCACCGTGAAGATCACGTACAACGGTAGCCAGGAGAGGACGAACAGTATCACCACCACGACCAACATCTTGACTACCTTGACTTTAGACTTCTGCTGCATGCGTTCCATCTGCGCGTCCTTCGTGTCTGTTGGAATATTACGTCGCCAGACCTTGATCCAGATCAGTATGTAGCAGAGGGAGATGAGGATCGTCGGGAGAACGTAGCAAAGGGTCAGGTTGCCGATTAGGAAGAATAGGGTACCGTCTTCTGGGCGAGGCCAGACTTCCAGGCACAGTCTTAGGTCTGGGTCATCGTCGTAGATCGCGACCAGGTCGAAGAATAGCAGCCACGGGCAGGTTGTTGTCAACGCGATGAACCAGATCACGACTATCATCAGTCTGGCTCGTTTCTTCGTGATTTGACACTTCAGCGGCCACCAGATCGCTAGGAACCTAAAAACAGGATTGGCATTAGTAATGGAGTAGTGTTTGAGCATGTTTTTTTGGAGATCGAGAGACATTTTTTGCTGAAATTAATTGGAAGCTTGGTACTCATATTTTTCATTATTAATTCTGTTGCGGTAGTTAGTTTATTTATATATTTTAGACGATATTAGATTTAGGAAATCTAATAGAGATAGAGGAACTCGTATGATAGTAACAATTTCTTTGTGACATTTTTTAAAATATGGAAATAACTTTGAAAAGTGTCTCAGGAAATTAACAGAGCTATTTAGAAATTCTTGCTTTCCATTCTTTAACGGTCCTCAATTTTTGCATGAGCTTGAAATGTTAAAGCAATTAATCACATTCATTAGTATCGATTTCTTCATATTTGTCTGAAACTAAAAAGTACTCCTGAAAAACTAAGACTGTGAGTAAATTGAAGATCACATAAGCTTGACGATGAATAAAAAACTGGTAATAATTTCGATAATACAAATAGCTGAGTAAACAATAACGTGTTGCTAAATAGATTACCGATAGCAACTGGGATAAAGTGGTGGGGGGTGAGGGAT